TTAGCTGCCTGCTAAGTCATTCAGACACCATCTGTGCAGTAGAACTAGAGTGCTGCCTGATTCCCAGGAAGACAGGAAGATCGGGTCTTTTATCCGTGCCTGTTGGTGGTTTCAGGCTGTAGGCTTCTGTGTGGGATAAACAGTAGACAATTAGGAAAACCAGGGGAATTGCTGCGCTGTAGCTTCTCAACGCCTTAGAGGGTTTCCCTTCTTTTTCCTTCTCCTCAGTGTCTGTCTCTACTTGTTTATTTTGTTATAGTGAAAGATTTTAGTTTCAAAAAGGAGTATCTAAGAGAAGTAAGGGTACTCCTTCTTGGCTGAAACACAAGTCTGTTCTCAGAATAGACAGAAGATTTTCCAACACAGCCTCGAATTTTTTTTTCTTTTTTTAATTTTTTCAAAATATACACAACAAATCATGTGCAAATTTAACAATTTCAACCTGTGTCATTCAATGACGACGATTACATTCTCAATGTTGTCGGCCATTCTCACAATCTTTTTCTCACTTAATCCAACATCATTAACATAAACTCAATGGCCCCTAGCCAAAAACCCCTTCCCACTCCCTCCCACCACTGTCGTTGTTAGGTGCCATGGAGTGGTTTCCTACTCAGAGAGACCCTATGTACTACAGAACCACTGATAGTTTTTGGTTTCTACGTATTTGCTTTAGTGTAGTTGGTTCTTGATCATGTTACCTCTTGAAATGGTTGGAGGTTGGCTAATTCTTCTTGATATGGTGACTGTGTATTTCTTCCATCTTCTTTTGATGATTCCTGCATCGTTTAATACTTTCCCCCAGGAATGCTTCAATATTGCAACTCAAGGCTTGAATTTTTTGTTCAGTTCTTTCAGCTTGAGAAACATCGAGCATTTTCTTCTGTTTTGGTTTTCGAAGTCCAGGTCTTTGCACATTTCATAATAATAATTTCCGTTGTCTTCCGGAGCCCCCTCTATGAAATCTGTTTAGCTGTTTTACTTCATCATTTCTTCCCCTTGCTTTAGCTACTCTACCTTCAAGGGCAAGTCAGAGTCTCTTCTGACATCAGTTTTGGTCTTTTCTTTCTTTCCTGTCTTTTTAATGACCTCTTGCTATTCATATGATATTCTCTGGCTAATTTTTCAAAAGTAGACCACCAGGTCCTTCTTTCTAGTCTATCTTAGTCTTGAAGCTCAGCTTAAACCTCTTCACCCTTGCTGACCCTGTTTGTATTTGCAATACCTGTGACATAGCTTCCAGCATCACAGCAACACACAAGCCACCACAATACAACAAACTGACAGATGTGTGGGGTAGCATATGAGGTAGCACGTGATCAAGAATTGATGGTAATGAAGGGAGAAGTCCAAGCTGCACTGAAGGCATTGGCAAAAAGCAAGGCTTCAGGAATTGATGGAATATCAACTGACATGTTTCATCAAATGGATACAATGTTGGAGGTGCTCACTCGTCTATGTCAAGAAATTTGGAAGACAGCTACCTGGCCAACCAACTGGAAGAGATTTATATTTGTACCCATTCCAAGAAAGGTAATCCAACAGAATGTGGAAATTATCAAACGATGTCGTTAATATGACACACATGTATATTTTGCTGAAGATCATTCAAAGTCGGTGTAGCAGTACATCAAGATGGAATTGTCAGGAATTCAAGCCGGATTCAGAAGAGGACATGAACAAGGGATATCATTGCTGATGTCATATGGATCTTGGCTGAAATCAGAGAATACCAGAAAGACGTTTACTGGTGTTTTATTGCTATTATTAAGATAATAATATAATAATTATATATTATACATACATGTATGTATACACTTATATACATACATACATACATAAACGAAAAATCCAAACCTGTTGCTGAAGTGTTGATTTCGAGTCACAGTGACCCTATAGGACAGAATAGAACTGCCCCCATATGCTTTCCAAGGCTGTAATCTTTTTGGAAGCAGATTGCCACACGGTTGGAACCTCCAACCTTCTTGTTAGCAGCCAGGTGCTTAACCCTGCTTAATCAGGGCTTGTTCTCTCTCTTTTTCTCTAAATACTAGCAGCCTAGCTCTCAACGACTGGGCCACCAGAGCTCCAGATATACATATTGTTATTCTGGTGGTGGTGTGCTGTTGAATCTATTCACAAATAACCCGGACCTTGACTGGCCTTGATCTGGAGTATTGGGGAACAGTTTTGGGGTCTATGTACCCTACTATTAAGATAGAATCTTTACAATCTGGAGGAAAAGCACTTCTAAAGAAATTACTGTGGTCTGATGAGTGTGATTTCTAAAAAGACTTCTGATATGGTTTTATTTCCTGGATCTAAAGCTGAGGTTTTACTTTTGTGATCCAAAAGTAATTCAAAGTAGCTCCATTCATAGGGATTAAAATTATTGCCAAATATTTTGTCTTCAAAGTTTCAATTCTAAATCCAAATCAACATCTAGATCTAGCCTGGATGCTACTATAAGAATTTCTTCATATTTAAAATAAATCACTCTCAAGATAAAATTATCTACTTTGCTTGTGATAAGTTCTCTGTTTCATCAATAAAAATCCCATTTATCTCAGAATTTAACCAAAAAGTAATTGAATTAAAGAGAGGCAGGATGTCATAGGTGGGAGAATGTACTTTCTTTATAAAAGCTCCTTGTCTGTGGACCTCATTCCAGAACTGACTGCTAGTGGAAGATGCTGGAGGCCAGAGAAGAACCTGCAATAAGAGCAAAAGTGGCCATGGCTGAACAATTTAAAATAGCAAGCATGTGTCTCATATGTTGTGGCTGTCTTGAAAAAACCCATGTGCCTGCAATGTGGATATGCCTGCTGCTTTCACTGCTTCAATTAACTGCAGACAGAGCCTCGTGGGGAGGGTTTATTGTGTCCCTTCTGCCCTATGGTTACTCAGAAGAATGACATCAGAGAATTTACAGCTGCATGAGTTGATTTCCAATATCAAGTAACTTGAGCCCCAGCTGAGAGCTATTCTACGTGTGGACCCAAGGATGCCGAAGTTCCAAGTGGATATGAACTTAGATGTTGACACAGCCAACAATAACCTCATCATTTCTTACAACATGAGGAGTGTTCAATGGGGATATTTCAAAAAGAATAGTAAAGACTGTGCTGAGAGATTCAACTGGATGTGTGTCCTTGGATCCCTTCAGTTCACATCTGGATGCCGTTACTGGAAAGTGAACTTGGGAACAAATCTAGAATGGGATGTGAGGATTTTCAAAGAATCAGTTAATTGGCAAGTGGAGATTCAACTGTCTTCAGAACATGGCTTCTGGACTGTGTGTACGAGAGATGGAGAGATGTTTGCAGCCAGCACTGTGCCTTTGACTAACCTCTGTGTGAACCCTGGGTTACACCAAGTGGGGATTTTCCTAGATATGGATATGGGAAACGTTTCCTTTTTTGACATTAGCTATGGATCTCATATCTTTACATTCAAAAAAATACCTACTGTGGAGCCTCTATGACCATTTATTACTCTTGAAAATCAAGTTAGTGATGACACTTAAGGCTTCCCGAGTGTCTGCCCTGTAATGAATCCAGGCACTGAAAGTTCTTCAGTTTATCCTGAGAAAGGAATTAACCTTTGCCCACAAAACACTTATAGAACACTTTTCTGTTTGATATACACACCGTACAAATTTATAGCAGAAAAACATAAAATATTTCATGAATCATGAACATAGATTAAGTAGATTATAGGGTTGCTATGAGTTGGAATTGACTTGATGGCAACGAGTAATTAGGAAAAATCATTTCAGATATTAAGTATCTTTATTGTATTCTTTGGGTTTTATGTTTTCGTTTTAGTTCCATAAATATATCCTGAAATATCAGATCAATTTACAAATGTCTTCCTTCTTATTTTCTGTAACATCAGCTTAGTGTACGATGGAAGTTATAAACTAAATAAATCTTTGGCTGTTTTCCCTTCTTCTGGATTGAATTGTGTCCCCCTAAAATGTCTGTCCACCAAGTGGCTTGGCCATGACTCCCAGTACAGCATGGTTGTGCAGCATTTTGTGATCTGATGTGATTATTCTATGTGTTGTAAATTCTAACCTCTGTGATGTTAGTGAGGCAGGATTAGAGGCAGTTGTGTTAATGAGGCAGGACTTAATCTATAGTATTAAGTTGTATATGAGTCATTCTCTTTTCAGATATGAAAGAGAGAATTGAGCAGAGAGGAGAGGGTCCTCCTGCCACCAAGAAAGAAGTGCTGGAGAGGAGAGAAAGTCCTTTGGATCAGGGTTCCTGTGCTGAGAGGTCCTAGACCAGGAGACATTGATGACAAGGATATTTTCCTAGAATTAACAGAATAGGAAAGTGTTCCCCAGGAGCTGGTGCCGTGAATTTGGGCTTTTAGCTTCCTAGACTGTGAGAGATAAATTTGTTTGTTAAAGCTGTCCACTTGTGGTAATTGTTATAGGAGTGCTAGGTAAGTAAGACACCACCCCCAAAAAAAAAATTCTTAGATGTGAAAATCTTTGAATACTGGAAAAATGATTCATCCTATTCACCATTGTTAAAGATGATCTGTCTACAGTGAGGAGGGTTGCTTGTCAGTACTCGGGTCCAATGTCTGGAAGAAACCCCGCGGTCTGCCTGGCCAGGAGGCTCTTTGGCTCCTGGTAGCTTTCCCACCTGAATGCCTTCTCTACTGCCTTGGGCGAAGGTGAATGTCTTGGCCTGTTGTCTGCTCTTTTCCTTCCTCCTTCCATTGGATTCCCACCTCTGCTGGTCGCTGTTGCTGTTTCTGATGTTCCCAATCACTGCCAGCAGAGCCCCAGCTCTGTGTGCTGAAAGATGGCAGCCCCCTGGCCTGGTCGTGCTCCCAGGCATCTCGGTTCCTCCAGGTCCCACTTGATTACACCTGGGCAACTGAGGCCAGTTTCCTGGATCACCTGACCTGTGGATTCAGTGTGGTTAAGCCCTAACTGCTGTGGTTTGGTCAGGGTCCACTGTGGCTTGTTTACCATCACCATGGAGACCGCTTCTGGAAACCTTGGCTGGAACTTCAGAGGAGGTAAGCCATGTGACATGGCAGGTGGGGCCTGAGAGCCCAGCCAGCGATTCCAAACAGCATAGTAGCTTAACTTCTGAACTCAGCAGCCCCCTCTTGATTAAAAAAAATAAAGCAAACAAACCCTTTGCAGTGATGTAGATTCTGACTCACAGTTACCCAATAAGACACACTGTAACTGTCACATAGGGTGTCCAAGGAGCGGCTGGTGGATTGATCTGCCGGCTTTTTGGTTAGCAGCTGACTGCTTAACCCCTGAGCTGCCAGTGCTCCATCTCTCACTTAAAGCAAAAAAACTAAACAAGTTGCCATCCAGTCGATTCCAACTCATAGCAATCCTATAGGACAGAGAGCTGCATAGAGTTTCCAAGGAGCATTTGGTGGATTAGAAGCTGTAGCTCTTAACCATGCTCCAATTCAGCACACTTGGGGCGAAAGCAATGCAAGAGGAAATCCGGATTACAACAGTGAGGGATGAGGGGTGGGTCCCCTGCGAGCTTGCTAAACTCCACACCTCCTTTCACCTGGCATTAGGATGATGGCTAAGCAATTCTCACTCAGCTGCTCCAGTCTTTATGTCTCGTGTGGGACATAATCCGATTCTACCCATTAGATGTAGGAGTCTCAATTTGGGGGCAGGAGCACAGTCTGGAGGTGGAACTGGGAAAGGCTGTGGCTGAATAAGTCCCAAAGGGGTGAGAACTAGGAGGACGCATTTCTGGGTGGTCTCCAGGGGTGGATTCAGTATGGGAACAGAGGATGTGGGCTGGAGGTCTTTTTGTGTCATGTCCAGGATCTCCACCGCGGTTCCTAGGGGGCCCAGTGGAAAGGCCAGGACTCCATGGCCTGATCCTGGCCACAGAGAGCCTGAGCTAAGAGAGGGGGCCCTTCAGCTCCTGTTCTTTAGGTTGGACTCTTACTTCAAAAACACATTCAAACCAATTAGACGTAGAAATTCCAGCTTACTCACCAGGTCCCTCCTCTGTCTTTGACTCAGACTCCATCTCCTCATCTCTTCAGCCCCTTAACACACAAGCACCCACCCACCCTATCCCCACTGGCCCCTCTCAAGGGACTCCACCCATCCAACTCAGCCTGAGTCTATCTTCCCTTTGACTCCTCATAGTGCATGAAAGTCCTGTCCATATTCCCCTGGGGCCCAGTGCCTATCTGTGAGATCTGAGTTGACTTGTGTCCCAGAAGGTCTGAGGAGGGCAGATTGTCAGTACTCTTGTGCCCAGTGTTACATGTCTGGGAAGCCTGGACCTTACGACCTTGGTAGCCAGGATCTGGCACCATCCCCACCCACACCCCGCTCTACTACTTGGTCCCACGTGAATCTCTGGGCACCTCCATTCACACTTTACCTCACTTCTTCCACTGGATTCCTCCCTCTGCTGCTTCTGGTTCCTGATTCTTTTTTTTTTTTTTTTTTTTTTTTTTTGCCTCAGGCTCCAATATGGCTCAGCTCGGCACTGTGTCTTGATTTAAAATTTTTTTTTTTTTTTTTGGTTACTGGAAATCTTAAACAATAAATTAAGAAGTTAGGTGATTAGATAGTTGTGATTGTATTAGATTAACTAGATTAAGTAAATGTGATTGGATAAAGTCAAATTGAATTTGATTGGATTGATTGCATTATATTGAATGAATTACAATACATGGGATCCAATCTAAAGATTTTATTAGATCATGTGAGATTGAGTTACACTTATTGGATTAATTGAACTGACTGGATTGGATTGTTTGGATTAAAGAGCATATGCAATCACATGACTTTGAAACAATATAAAAGCCTGTAACTCTATCGTTCTTACTCTTTCAAGTCTGGCCTCCTCTGCCAGTTAGTAATCTCTTCTCCATTGGGAGTCTTTGATGAGGAATCTTACTCTCTATTTTGGAAACGTCCCTAGGAGTGACCTTTCATCACACGTCCTGGACACTGCACCACTGAGGGGTCCCAGAATCCATCTATTGAAGATTTATTGACAGACAGGAGAAAGACAGCTGGATTTCAGGTTAGTTTTTTTAAAAAATTTTAATTGTTTTAAATGCTCAGTGAAATAGTACTTATAAAAATCTATAGTGGTTTGACTTTCGATACTGGGGTAAGTATTCTTTAAAACTTTAAAGACTGATAAAATGCATCATTCTGAATTCTAATTATTACATTAAGATTTAAATTTGAAATATAACCCAGTGCCTTGATTTGTGTGAGATGGTTCATAAGTAGTTGTATAGTCTTGGTGGTTTTGCCAATGTAATTGAAAGACTAAATAATTGTTCATTCTTAGTTCACATAGATGCATTGTACATTAATTAGAAACTAGTTATAGAGTGAGACAATGAAGGTAAACCACTGAATAAAACAGTCCAGGTCATCAGCTGTGAATCTCCCAGTCTAACAGGGGAGACAACAATTTTTTTTTTTTTAATATTTTATTGTACTTCAGGTGAAGGCTTACATAACAGATAGTTTCTCATGTAACAGTAACACACATGCTGTTTTATGACATTGGTTAACAACCCCACAACATTTTAACCCTCTAAATTCTCAACTTTTTTTTTTTTGTGAAAATACACATAGCCAAAGATACGCCATTTCAAAAATTTTTTTACTTACACATTTAAGTGACATTGACTACGCTCTTCTAATAATGCTGTTATTCTCACTTAAGATGAAGGCTTACAGGACAAAATAGGGGAGACAACAATTTTATGTGTTAATTTGTTATTGGAAATTGCCTCTTGTCATGTAACGGATAGAAATTTCAGGTTTTAAGAATAAAACTTAGTTTTTTTCTAGACTTCTATATGTTTGCCAAAGAATTAGACACAGCATTCCCATAACCTTCTATTGTTTTGTAAGTCTAGGGAAACTTCGGCTTTATTTTTTCTAATACAGTCGATTATGCTAGACTGTAAAAATCAAAATCAGGCATTCAATGGTACAAATCCTAATTCACTATTTATGTGTCAAGAGTCTCGTCTGTGGCCGGGTCCCATTGTAGAAGTAAGTAATCGTGACAGAGGATGACATCACTTTATAAGGAGAGGAAAATGATTTAGCTTTGAGTTAATGAGCAATGAGATACCTTCAGACCCACTTGGAGAAGAAGGTGCATGAGGAATTTTGTCTCTGTCTATGTCAAATATTTTCCTTATCTTGTGATTCAGGAAACCCAAAATCGATTTCTGAGGAAGACTGGACTGAAGCTTCAAGGAGATGAGGCAGACAGCACTTTATTACACACAGCGTCAGCCTCACAGACCCCATAAACCCCAGAACATGAAGAAGCAATGGAGGGGACCAGTGGAGCAGAGGGCTCCCCAACCAGAGCAGGAGGATCCAAGGGTAAGTGCAGGCTTGGACCTCTCGGGAACCAGAGGGGCTGCGTGGATTCCAGAGAGAGGGTTTGAACATGTAATCTTCTGTGTCTGTAACAAAGTTGTTCTTACTCATTCAAGGCTGGCCTGGCTTGTGACTGCTCACCTGGCTAATTAGCTCATTCAGAGTCTTTGAGGAGGAATCTTACTCCCTATTTAGCGTCCTTTCCAGCCTAGTGTTTGTCAAGTTCTTGAAATCTGGCTCATAATCCTCTTCCTTAGACTCTCCTGTTCTTCCTCCCAGTCCCCCTGCTCTGACTTGACAGGACCATAATATCCTGAAATTTCTTACACTTATTTGGGCATATGCAGTTGTTCCTTTCCCCAAACCAATACCCAAGTCTAAAATCTAATCTTATATTGACCTTTGAAAGCTGCCTGTCATTTCTGCTGAGTCACTGACCACTCTCCTTCTCCACCTACAGAAGAAGTGCAAGAACTGCGGGGCTTTTGGGCACACAATAAGAAGCAAGAGGTGCCCCATAAAGTGCTGGTCTGGGGCCCTAGTCCCCCAGGCCTTGGGCCCAAATAAGAAGAAGGAGAACCTGGAGCCTAAGAAGCCCCAGGGATTCCAAGCCCCAAGACCCTTTAACAGTATGGAAAGAGAGAAGGAACAAAGACAAAGGTGAGGACATGGAAAGCCTTTGGGTATCAAAGGAGATGGATGGTGTGTTTTCATTTCTATGCCACATACTCAGCCATTTTCAGACAAGACAGGGGAACTAGGGAGAAATAGATAAGAGCTCAATATCTTCCAGGTGTCCAGATTCAGGAGATCATTCTAGTCTTGGAGAATCACTAAAAGGAGGGGCCAGGGCACATCTTGAATCTTTGCACATGGCAGGGACAAAACAACAGAGTCTAAATTAAAGTACTTAATGGATAAAATCTAGGGGGCTGAATGAGGTTGGTGGATGAATCTGAGATGAGAGAATGGGCAGCCTTGGAAAAGATCACAGTGGTTCAACATCTCCCTCACCCTAAAACAGTGAATGGTCCTGGGCCCCAGGAATATTTATCCTAGGTTGGGACAGGAAGTTGGGACATGTCCACTTAACATGTTATTTTTTTTTCCCCTGAAGGCAAGAACAGCATGAGAGGAAAGCCGTACTCCAGAAATTTCCCAAGAGACCCCAAGGGAAACAGCAGCTAAATTGGAAGGAATTGACAGAATCTTGTGACTATTTAAGGGTGAGTCAAACAGGTTTCTTACTCTATTTGTCCTCTGTGTAACTCTGATTTTCTTCACTCCCATACCCCTTCTGTGTGAAGAGTTTTTAAAATTCTATTCTGGGCAATAGGATTCCAAATTATTTGTATATATTTCAGATGCCATTTTCTTTTTGTGTCTTTGTTGTTGTAAGATTACTTGTGTGCCTACCAAAACATGCTAGTGGGAACATTTCTATGCACATGTGGTAGTGATTTAAACAGATGCCTTCCAAAAGGTAGACTCCTACATGCAAGAATATGCATCTTTTAAATTGTGATACATATTCCCAAATGTCCCTTGAAAACACATTAGCCATCAATCTGCCTTCAAAAGAGCCTTAGCCATGTACACTCCATAGAAGAGTGTAGGAAATAGCTTATTTCCACATAATTTAGGAAGACACAATATTAAGAAAGTTTATATTTTCCAGTCTGATGGGAACAGTATATGAAGTTGATATTGTACTTTAGTGTCTCCTGAACACAACTGAGGTTGAGTACTTCTTCGTATGCGAAGTGACTGCCTGTATTTCTTTTACTGTTAAGAAAATTTGATAAGTTCTATGCCTTTATGTTTGTTTGATTTTTATCTCCTCTTAACTTGAAGGAAGTTCTAATACATCTCAACTGTGGTGTCTTCTCCCACAGCATCCTTGCAGGCCAATGCCCATTCACACAACCAAGAAGAGAGCTGTCCTGGACCCTGTTCTCACAAAATGGCCACTTGTAAGGAAACCTGACCTGAAATCCATCTTCCCTGCATTGTCTCCTATCAAAAATCATGACCTGAGCTTTTTCTCACCTCATGGACAAGCTAAAGTACAAGAAGTGGCTATCACTGACTTCTCTCAGCCCACACCCAAGCACTTTGGCCAGGACTTTACCCTCATGGTCAAAACAACAGACAGCAGATCTGATGCTTGTGCTTATTATGTTTCTCAGTCTGCCTCAAAAACACTTGCCCTGGGCCATGCCCTCAACCCCCAGGCACAAGCCAAGTGTCCTGATAGGATCTCAAAATCTGGACCACAGTCTGCCACATGTAGAAGGGGCCAGGAGTCTTTACTCAGCACCCAAGCACCAGGAAAAAGATCTGCCAAGGCCCTTGTACAGAATTCCCAGAATCCTGCAAAGAAAGCAAAACTCATGACCTTCCAGACCCTCAAGAAGAGCACTCAGAGATCTGATGTGGAAGCTGGCCAGCCTGTCTCCAATACTACTGAATTTGGACCCAAAGGGTCACCCCAAGTCCCCAGGAAAATTGACCTCCAGCCTCCACACAGTACACCTCAACTGAATACTGTCGAAGATGGCCCTATCCTTCCACCTCCACTGTTCAGTCATGTTCAAAGCCAACCCCTCAGAATTGTCTTCACGAGATTGGACAATGGAGAGTGGAGCTCCAGGTTCAGAACTTCTCCCACCTCTCTATCTCCTGAGTGATCTATACCTCCTGTTCAAAGCCCTTGGGTTCCTGTGAAGTGTGAGAGACACTGTCCCCAGATTCCTGTGAGTGTCCTCCCTGAGGACCTTCTGGCTTCCTTCTCCTGAGAAGAGTGATTGAGAGTGAGACCTCCATGGTAGGAAAGACTCAAGGTCCAGCCTCACATGAATTGTATGTGACTGAAAGGCTACATTGGGGAAAGATGCAGGGAGCAGGCTGTGTTTGTTGAATCACATCTTCAGATGTGGTGTGGGTGCAATGGTGGAACCCTACATAATGTTGGAAGAGAGACATGCACACATTGCTTATTTTGATTTTGTAAATTTAAGTTGTATATAGAATGGACCTTATCAAACAGGAACCTAGAAGTTTTTGTAATTTAGTCATTTTATAAGAAACTAAGTGAATATGGGGATAAATATTCATTGAAAGCTATGCAATTAATCAGTATTTGGTGGGAAAGTGACTGTATTTTGGAAAGACTGTGAATAACCCATCAATGGAATCTGTGTCTTTTAAGCAGTGCCCTGTAGTGAGACTAAAGTTTTTGAGTCTGGGGGAATGTTTAAGAGGAAACTATTACTGGGAATATTCTACTGATCATTTTGGTTAACATTTATTGTAAAATTGTATTGTAAATTTTTCTTCAATGTTAATAAAATGTTCACAAATATGATATTTTATGTCGATATTTTAATTTACACGAAAGCTAAACATTGAAGGCCCTTATAAATATTTAATCATCAGATTTGATTAACTTGAGGGTAAAAAGAACTTCCTTATACACAGTTTTATCCATGTACCAGTAATTTGCTAAAAATACAGACTTTCAGGTGCAACCTAGCCCTACTGTATCAAAATAACAATATCCCCAAATGGTTCATGTGCATATTAAATTGTGAGAAGCACTTCTTGGGGACTGATTTGTCTCATATGAATCACCTGGTGAACTTTAAATTACATGGGTCTATTCCATGGAAATATACATTTACTGTGTCTTATGTGAGGCTTGGAAACCCTTGGGCGTAGTGGCTAAGAACTAACGCAGCTAACTAAGAGGTCGGCATTTCGAATCCACAAGGCGTTGCTTGGAAACCCTATGGGGCAGTTTTACTCTGTCCTGTAGGGTTGCTATGGGTCAGAATCGACTTGACGGCAATGGGTTTGGTTTTTTGGTTTTAACATGAGGCTTGGGCATGGAGAATGTCAAATACTCTCTAGGTAAATAAAATGGGACGCAGAGTGTGAGAAGCACTGGAGATGGTGAGCAAAGCTAATTTTTCACTCATTTGTTGTCTACACATTCTAACATGATGGAGAAAAAGGGGATTGTTTGTTAGGGAGTTTGATATACTTAGTAATAGCAAATAAACTGTTCTTTCCTCTATGTCAAGAACCTGTCTCTAGAGTGCTTTTTTATTTCTCCAGGACCTCATCCCTTGAGCATAAGCTACCTTCTAGTTTAGCCATAAGGTCCATAAAAAGGATATGGTGATATAAAGAAAGTGAAGAGACAATATACAGATTGGGGAAAATAATCAGTAGCCATACATCTAATAAGTGTCTAATATCCAAAATAAAAAAACCAAATAATTTATACAACTTAACCACAAATGTACAAACAACCCAATTAAAAAAAATGGGCAAAGGACTTTGTTTTGTATTGAATTGTGTTCCCCTAAAATGTTTGTCAACTTGGCTAGGCAATAATTCCCAGTATTGTGTGATACGCCACCATTTTGTCATCTGATATGATTTTTCCTACCTCTATGATGTTTATGTGCAGGATTAGAAGCAGTTGTATTGATGAGACAGGCCTCAGTCTACAAGATTAGATTATATTTTGAGTCAATCTCTTTTGAGTTATAAAAGAGTGAAGTGAGCAGAGAGACAAGAGGACCTCATACCACCAAGAAAGCAGGGCCTGGAGCAGAGCATGTCCTTTGGACGTGGGATTCCTGGGCTGAGAAGCTTCTAGACCAGAGGAAAATTGATGACAAGGACCTTCACCCAGAACCCACAGAGACAGAAAACCTTAACCTAGAGCTGGCATCCTGAATTTAGACTTCTAGCCTCTGAAACTATGAGAGAATAAATTTCTCCTTTGTTAAAGCCATCCACTTGTGGTATTTCTGTTATAGTAGCACTAGATGACTAAGAGAGTTATGAACAGATATTTCACAAAAGAGGATATTAAAATGGCTATCAAGGATATGAAAAGATCCTCTTCTTCAATGCAAATGAAACTACAATAAGATATTACCTCATCCCCATTGGAATAGTAATGGTAAACAAAACATAATAAAAAATAAACAGAAAACAATAGGTGTTGGCGAGGATGTCAAGAAACTGGAACCCTCATCCATCGCTGGTGGGGATGTAAAATGGTGGGGTTGTAAAATGGTACTGCTGCTGTGAAAAACTGTCAGTTCCTCAGAACGTTGAACATATTACTACCATATGACCCAGAAAACGAAATCCTATGTATGTGTATAAAATGATTGAAAGTGGGAATAAAAACAGAGACCTGTGCACCAAAGATCATTGCAGTGCTTTTCATAATAGCAAAAATGTGGAAACAACCTACATGTCCATCAACAGATGAATGGAGAAACAAAATGTGGCATACATATTAAATGAGGGAAAAAAGGTATGTAAATTGTGAAGGAGGAAGTAAAACTATCTCATTTCTCAGATGATGTAACCCTATACATAGAAAACCCCAAGGAATTCATGAAATAACGATTATAACTAATAAATGAACTTAGCAAGGTGGCAGGGTACAAGGTCAACACACAAAAATCAGCCACTGGGTTTCCATACATCAGCAATGAGCAAGCTGAAAAAGAGATTAAGGAAACACTGCCATGGATAAGAGAACCTAAAAGAATAAAATACCCAGGAATAACTTTAACCATGTAGGTGAAAGACTTGTACACTGAAAAATGTAAAATATTGTTGGAAGTTATTTAAGAAGACTGAAATAAATCAAAAGATACTCTGTATTAATGGATTGGAAGGCTTACTATGCATAAGATGTCCATACCACCCAAAGAGATCTACAGATTCAATGCAATCCCTGTCAAAATTACAAGTCTTTTTTTACAGAAATTGAAAAATCCAGTCTTCTAATTTGTATGGAATTGAAAGGGGCCACAAATAGCCAACAAAATCTTGAAATAGGAGAACAGAGTAGGAGGACTCATACTTCCTAATTTCAAAACAGTTTGTAAAGCTACTGTAATCAAAACAGTCTGGTCTTGACATAATGATAGACACATATATCAATGTTATATAATTGACAGTTTTTTCAAGGGTGTCAAATTTATTTAAGGGAAGAAGAAAAGTCTCTTCAATGAATGGTGGTGGGACAACTGGATCTTCACATGTAAAAGAATGAAGTGGTCCTATATGTCACACCATATATGAAAATGAACTCAATATGGATCAAAGAACTAAATTTAAGAATTGAAACCATAAAAATCTTTTTAAAAAAACATAGGAGTGATTCTTTGGGACCTAGTTTTTACAATAGATTCTAAGAGATGACACCAAAAGCACAAGGAAAAAAAAAAAGACAAGATAGATATATGGAACTTCAACAAAATTAAAAAAAAAGTGTATCAAAGAACTTTACCACCAAAATCTTTAGATAACCTACTGAATGGGAGAAAATATTTGGTAGGCATATATCTGATAAAATCTTAATTTCTAGGATATATAATAAACACAACTCAAATCCAAAAGAAAAACAGACAAAGAATGTGAATAGAAATTTTCCAAAAGAAGAAATACAAACTCCAAACAAGCATATGAAAAAATGCTTAATGTCATTAGTCATGAAAAACTAAAGAGCCATTGCTGTTGAGTCCGTCTCAAATCATGGCAAACCCAAATGTTCCAGAGTAGAACTGTTCTATAACGTTTTCTTGGCTGTAATAACTGCCTGACTTTTTTTCCATGGTGTATTTGAACTACCAACGTTTAGGTTAGTAGTCACGTTTGCGCCACCCAGGGAAATGGAAATCAAAACCAAAAGGAGATATGACTTCATTCCCCCTAACATTGCAAAAAAAAGAAAAAGGAAAATAACAAATGTTAGGGAGGATGTGGAGTAACTGGAACCTTCACCTATTATAAAAAGGTGCAGCCATTGTGGAAAACAATGTGGTAGTTGTTCAGAAAGATAAACATAAAATTACCATAGGTAGATAGGTAGTGGCTGTAGACTCATCTCCAACTCATGTTGCACTAATGTACAATTGAAGGAAGAGTTGCCCAGTCCTGCATCATCTTTACCATCTCAGGTATTTGTTTCAGTCCATCGTTGATGATACTGTGCCAATCCATCTAAAAGTGTCTCCTTCATCCTCATTGGCCCTCTACTTTGCCAAATAGGATGTCCTTCTCTAGCCTTTGATGTCTCCTGATGATGTTTCTAAAGCATGTGATATGGACAGTTTTCTATTCTGATTCATAAAGTTTTCATTGGCCAATTTTCAGAAGTAGATTTTCAGGCCTTTCTTCCTAGGTTGTATTAGTCTAGAAGCTCTGCTGGAATCTGTTCACCATAGGTGACCCTTCTGCTATTTGCAATACAATGGCATAGCTTCCAGCATCATAGCAACATGCAAACCACCACAATATGACAAACAGACAGGCAATGGAGAATTATCATACGACCCAACAATTCCACTTCTAGGTATATACCCATAATAACTGAAATCAAGCACTCAAACAGATACTTGTACACCAACGTTCATTGCACAATTATTCACAAGGGCCAAACAGTGAAAATAACGCAAGTGCCCATCAACAGAAGAATGGATACATTAAATATAGTATAAATATACAATGGTATATTACTAAGCCACAAAGATAAATGAAGTTCTGATATATGCTATGACATGAATGGTCCTTGAAAACATTGCACCAAATGAATTAAGTCAGACAGGAAAGGACAACTATTATATGATCTCACTTATATGAAATATCTGGA